TCTTTTTTAAGAATGCATAATCAATCCAAGTGCATTATTAATATCTCAGGTGTTTTTTCCAATTACTTTTTTTTACAAAAGTAATTATTTCTATAATTTTATTTCTTTCTTTAATCACCGAAAAAAAATCTTCTTTTAGTACAAATACAATCTTTTAAAAGACAATCAGTATTAGAGTAATATAAAGTACACATTTACCTAAAAACATTGTTCCAAATTCACTAAAGTCTAAAAACGTGTTTATTCGAAGCTACAACTTTTATCTTCGTAACAATAGCGATATACACTGTCAAGAGAACTCCGTTTGTCAGTGATCTTCAAACCAGACAAAGTACCACCAATTTCAATCACTGTCAGATAAGAACGATGTACTCATTCTCCATTGTCACACTTGTATAAATAATAGACGCTTTTCGTACAAGGTGTTCTATTGATCTATCACTTTTCATTGTTAACAATGTTGATATATCACGTATATGCTGCTATTGAAGACTTATGGATTCAATCTATATAAATGACATTGTTGTTTGAATAAAATTCAACATTCGTGCAGTCATTAACTATTCTAGATAGTTAGTGCATATTTTTATATGAATATCATGTCTACGAGGAATTATTGTAATTTTTTTTAAATTTCTGTATTTTATATAGAAATTGTAGTGTTTCGCTGATTCACTGTTAAATAATATCAATGATTCAGTATTGCAGGATTCTAATATAAAAAATACGTCGCAAGTGAGGGAATGTTATTCATTTCTTATTTCTTTTAATACGATTTCATTATGAATACGGTCCTACCTAATTATGTCATGAAGATCGGCGATCGACAAACTTATTCTTCAAAGAGGACATCTCACACTCTACACTTTTATTTTTATCTTTTAGTCAAAAAGTGACGATTTATATCAAAAGGTAATTCATGATATGCCTATTCCACGGCGAAAGGTCGTGTATTCAGAAGGCGATGTTTTTACTGAATCATACTATTTTTAATAAAACCTTATAAAAATAATAAATACATTCATACTTTTTGCAAAGGCAACAAATTAATTTCACTCCAATGCCTTGTCTCGTAAAATTAGTTTTAACTATATTGCAGTTTTCCTTAAACTTTAAACAATTCACGGCAGAGTGCTTTAGAAAGACTAAATATATATAGTAGTAATAAACGTCGCCTAACAATTTTAATCACTCGTTGTAAGCAGGAAACACTAAAGGTAGATTACAAAGAATTTTATTTCAAGCAGTGTGTTGTGTTCTCGTATATAACGCTGCTGGACTTAATAAAATACACAGATAATAACATTTCATCACACTTTCATTTTAATTTTCACAGTTTTGAAAACTCAGGTACAGGATCATCCCACACTGTCTACATTATTCCTATACAGACAAACTATTAAGTAGTCCTTAAATATGGAAATTTGTATGTTACTTATTTTAAGAACAATGATATCCGCCGTAGGGAATATCCGTTAGAGAATTCACTGCCCCATATCATTTCGCGGGTGTCACAGGAGGTGACTACGAGAAATGAAACAGGGAATGGGCAGCAGTATCTTTCTGATAATAATTCAGAACAATAAAAACTATAGTTTTCAACCAGTCTTCTAAGCGTGGTTACGCACGCACATCACGCACATCACGCACGCACGCACGCACGCACATCACACACACACACACACACACACACACACACACGCACTCGCACACACGCACACGCACACACGCACACACGCACACGCGCACACGCACACGCGCACACGCACACGCGCACAGGCGCACGCGCACGCGCGCACGCATGCACGCGCACGCGCACACACTTCTTCTTACCGAGGTATTATACCTTTTTCGCGGGCTGTTAGCCAAACGAAATCGGTCAAGTGTTTAATCTTTAGACAGGAACTTACGAACTATTCTGCAAGTATTCAATATTGTGGCTTTCTGTAGTAATATAAAGGTAAATTTATGGATAAGAGTGAATGGTGAATGACGCCAGTTGCTGATATTATGATAGGTATAGTTTTTACAGTTTTTACTTCCCACTGGGATTTTATTTCGATGAATAAATCAGTGTATTTGGCTATTTTTTCATTGTAGTTAGAGGTCAAATTGTGAGTGTTTGGTATAGCAATATCTATAAGATAAATAGATTCATTTCTTTTGTCATGTAGCGTAATATCCGGTCGATTATAATGCACGGTCTTATCAGTTAATATAGTTCTGTCCCAGTAGAGTTTGAATTCACGAGAGCCATGTATGATTTCTGGTTTGTATTTATAATATGCTATTTTTTCGTCTATAAGCTTATATTTATATGCGAGATACTGATGAATGATGGCAACTACTTGGTCGTGTCTATGTTTATAGTCGGTCTGTGTTATTGAGTTGCAGGCACCAGTGATATGCTAAATGGTTTCGGAACTATTACGACAATGTCTGCAAAGGTCTGGTTGTAGAGTGTTGTCTTTAATTATATGTTTCCTGTAGTTTAGTGTGTGTATAGTTTGATCCTGAATTGCTAACATAAAGCCTTCCGTTTCAGGAAAGAGTTCTCCACGCCTGAGTCACATGTTAGACACTATCTTGTCTACGTTTTTGTTCATCATATCGCGGCGGTGTCTTCCATGTAACGTCTTCTGCAACCAGCTGTTAATTTAATCCTGTGCAGAGATAATACTTTCGTTATTCTGTTTTCTTTGATCTTTCAGATTTAAAGGAGTAAATTTAGTATCGACTTGAACAACAACATTATGAAGCGGACTAATATTGGCTTGTTGATGAAAGAAGTTTCGAATAGCAGAAATTTGAGAGTTATGAAGATTTTTTATATCAATCACACCTCTTCCGGCTTCTACTTTAGGTAATGCGAGTCGTTCGCTACAAGATCTAGGGTGGTGTTTTCTGTATTTAGTCATTGTTGTATTGATGAGACGTTGCAGCTTTATTAGGTACCTTTTAGACCAATGAATTATACCGAATAAATAAGTTAAAATTGGGATGGCGAATGTGTTTATAGCTTTTATGATATTTCGTGCATTTAGATGTGTGTTAAGTATTCTATTTAGGCGTAATTTAAATTCTTTTTCTAATGTTTTTTTAAGTGTTTTTGGTTAATCTGTCGTGTTTCAGTAAATCCTAGATATTTATAGCCTATGTTTTCATCTACGGGTTCATATAGTACAGTAAATAGTTTCACCTGTCTGGAGAGTATATGAATTTTGTTCTACTTTGCCTCTACGAATCGATTGTATCCTACATTTATTTATTCCAAATTCCATTTGAATATCAGTTGAGAAGCTTTCCGTTATGTCAGCAAGGATATGTAAATCTTTTAAACTACTTCCATACAATTTTATATCATCCATATAAAGTAAATGTGATAGTGTGTGATGTGTATTTCCATTGGTGATTTTATATCCCTTGTCATTTCTATTGAGAAGGTTTGATAAAGGATTTAAAGCCAGGCAGAACCAGAGGGAGCTTAAGGCATCACCTTGAAAAATTCCCCTTCGGATTGTTATTGTATCAGTATCTAAACAGGAGTCATACTTGTATATCTTGTGAGTAGTTCTCCAATGAAGCATTGTGTTTTTCAAGAATTCTCTAATTTTGTGATGAATTTTATAATGTTCTAAAATGTAAATTAGTTTTTGATGTCGCATCCGAAGCTGGAAGCTTCAGGAAGCGGATACTAGGGACAAATATCACACGAGGGGTAGCCGAAAAGCTTGACACCATCGATGGTAGGAAAGAATGTGTGGAGAGAACATGGCAGAACCTTAGGGATGGAATGGTAAGTGCAGCGGAAGAAGTATGTGGTACGACAAAAAGAGGTAGTAGTAAAAGAAGAGATGCATGGTGGAATGATGAAGTGAGAGAAGCTGTAAAAAAGAAGAAAAAAGCATGGTTAGACTACTTGACCTCTAGTAACGATAAGCATATGAGAGAGAAGATGAAAGAAAGATATAAGCTGCAGAAAGTTCATGCGAAAACATTGATTGAGGAAGTACGTGAAAGGTGTAGAATAGAAGCGGACGAGAGGTTGTCGCACAACAAGTAAGGAAAACTCCAAACTCTTCTGGAAAGAGGTTGGAAGATCCCGGAGTGGTGCGACAGCCTTAAGAATGAACAAAGTGCTTTCGAGAACCAATGACGTCCTCTCAGAAAAATCGGACGTCATGCAGCGATGGAGTGAATTTTATAGAGAAATGTATGCGTGTCATGATCTTAGTGAAGGATCCGGGGGTGACGCCGAGACTGGCACGCCAGACACGGACCTCGATGGCACTGAGGTCATCAGCATGAAAGAGATTGAACGTGCGATTCGAAGTTTGAAATGTGGTAAGGCTGCGGGACTAGACAGAGTTACTGCTGAAATGGTCAAGTACGGTGGGCCTCACGTCTGGGACAGCTTCCATCTGCTGTGCAATTTGTGCTGGCGGACGGGAGATGTCCCGAATGATTGGCGATCCGCGGTCATTGTGCCTTTATATAAAGATAAAGGTTCACATTTTGACTGCGGGTGCTATCGGGCGATCAGCTTGACCAGTTTAGCAAGTAAAGTTTACTCGAAGGTTTTAACAAGTAGGATGCAAGAGAAATCGGAAAGATTTTTATGGGAGGCACAATGCGGATTTAGACCTGGAAGAGGATGCACGGATCAAATGTTTTCTCTCCGCATGATCACGGAGAAGCTTCTGAGTGTTAACCAGAAGATTTTCTGTGCTTTTGTGAATCTGGAGAAAGCATTTGATAAGGTTATAAGGAAGAAAATGTGGGAACTGTTGCCGGGATATGGTGTGGATGGTCGATTGTTAAGGGCTGTGCAGTCACTTTACTATGACTGTAAAGCCTGTGTGCGGGTAGGGCATGACTTGTCACCCATGTTTAGCGTCCAAATGGGCGTAAAACAGGGTTGTGTCATGTCTTCCTGGCTGTTCATACTGTATCTCGACAGCTGTTTACAGAAGCTGAAAAATAGCTGTTTGGGTGTGAAATTGGGTGACATAAAAGTTAATTGTCTGCTGTATGCTGATGATGCAGTGCTTATTGCACCATCAGAAGCAGAACTGCAGGCATTAGTCACGTGTATGAAAGAGGAATGTGAAATTAAAGGTCTCCGTTTGAATGCTAATAAAACTAAGGTTCTGGTATTTGAAAAGGACGAAGAGAGAACGAAATGTGAAATATGGGTAAATCAGGAATGTCTAGAACAGGTAAATGAAATTGTATACTTGCGGAGTGCTTTCAGCCGGGATGGAAGATATTATTTAGATGTGGATAGGCGTGTCGCTGCCGGAAACAAAGGCAATGGTGCCCTGAATGCATTAGTAAAAAGGCAAGGCATGGTGAAGAGTGCACGCCTTGCAATACATAATGCAGTGTTGGTACCGACTTTGTTATATGGCAGCGAAACCTGGGTATGCCAGAAGAAGCATAAAAGCAAGTTGAATGTAGTGGAGATGCGATCTATTCGTAAAATGTGTGGCGTTACCTTAGCCGACCGAAAGCGAAACGAAGAGATTCGCAATATGGCAGGATTGAAAGATGACCTTATCACAAAAATTGATAGAGGCGTACTCCAATGGTTTGGGCACGTTGAACGAAGGAGTGAAGACCGAATGGTGAAGAAAATATATAGAGCGAAAGTAAATATTAAAAGGTGTCGAGGTAGACCGAGACTAACTTTCGAAGACCATGTGAGCAAATTGCTCGAAGAGGGGAGGGTCAAGAGTACTCGGATACCTAGACGTGCATGTATGAAGTTAATGAACCTGAAAGAAGCGAAAGAGGTATGTAAGGATCGTGACACTTGGCGATCTGTTCTCTCTGGCTAACCCGTTAGGGATTGTGCGTCAAGATAAGTAAGTAAGTAAGTAAGTTTTTGATGTAAAATGTTAATTACTATGGGGTACTGAGTTAAATGCTTTTTTGTAGTCGGTAAACATTGTGAAAATATTTTTTTGGTGACTGTTTGTTTAGAGACGATTGCGTCAATTATCAACTGTTCTTTACAACCTAGACTAGCTTTTCTGCATCCTTTCTGTTTTTATACTAATATATTATGAGAGATAGCGTGCTTGTAAATTAATTGGCTAAGACAAGACGTAATGATCTTATAAATGTTTTGGAGGCAAGTAATTGGCCTGGATTTTTTGAGTCACCTCGGTCTTTAGGTATCATGTGAGTTGTTCCTAGTGTAATGTAGCTTGGTAATGATTCTGGTGTTTTTATAAAAGTGTTGATGTGTGATAGTAAGAGCGGATGTAAGTAATGTTGCGTGAATAAGTCAACTAGCGCCATCTAGTGTCAGGAACGAGAGCGAGGGGAGCTTTGCAGAAAATGACATCACAAATCTCTCAACCGACAGCGCCATCCGAAGAACTAAGTTTCTAGAAAATCTACACTCGCACACTCGTCCCTTTGCGCGCATTTACTTGAATATTCCGGCTGCTTCTTTGCTAATTTATATAAATAGGCGCTGCAAGATGCGATCGAGGCAGTATTGGAATTGGCGACACAAGCGAAGCTTCGGAGCGGAATAAAGTGAATTAGTGTGCTTAATTATTGGTGTTTTAAGTTTTAATTTGTGTAAAGAAAATTAAAGTGTTAATTTAGGTAATCCTATCGGCAATTTTTATTGTCACGAACCTCAAGCTCGTAACAATTGGTGTCAGAAGTGGGATAAAGTCATGCCGATTTTACCTAAGGAGGAAACGGAGGGTGTCCGTACCCGAAGTCAACGCCAGCAGGAGACGGACCAAAGAAGATTTGGTGGTGCAACGCCGCAGACGTCGGAGGGCCAGCCGCCGGCTGCAGGCCCGTCAGTAGCTCCTACATCTGCAACACCTGATTTAGGTGCTCTGATGGTGATGCTGCAGGAGCAGGCTCGCCGACTGGAGGAGCAGGCCCGTTGGTTGAAAGAGCAGCAGGAGGAGCAGGCTCGCCGACAGGAGGACCAGACTCACCGACAGGAGGAGCAGGCCCGTTGGTTGAAAGAGCAGCAGGAGGAATAGGCTCGCCGACAGGATGAACAGGCTCACCGACAGGAGGAACAGGCCCGTCGGTTGGAAGAGCTGCTCAAGCGCGATAAGGAAGAGCAGATGCTTCTAATGAAGGACATTCACGCTACCTTCAGGAAAGAGATAAGGGAGGTGAAGGATAAGGTTGTTCAACATGACAACCGCCTGTCGGAAGCTGAAACCCGAATCGACCAAGTGAACAATAGGGTTGACAACGTAATGTCTGACATGAAGAAATCACTGGACGAACTCAAACTGGATGATGGAACTACAGCTCCCGTAGTAGCTACTACACCTTCGCTACGTGGGTTCAAAGTGCCACCGTTCGACGGGACTTCTTCCTGGTCAGCCTACAAAATCCAGTTCGAGGCTGTTATGAAGGCGAACGGCTGGAATAAAATTCAGGCCATGACTGCTCTCACACTAGGCCTGCGCGACCAGGTCTTAACAGTTCTGGAAGCTCTCGGTGAGGAAGTGACTTATGAGCAACTCCTTGAGGCATTGGAGGCGAGATATGGCGACGCTCACCTGGAACACGTCTTTCGTGCGCAGCCTAAAGATCGTGTGCAGCGCATCAACGAAAACCTGCAGCAGTGGGCTCTAGAAATGGAGAAGCTGGTGCGAAAAGCATACCGGTCTGTACCTGCGCTTATTGAAGGGAACCTGGTGCAGACATTCATCGACGGCATCCGCGACCTGGAAGTCAGAGCTGCTGTGAGGCTCGGGCACCACGAGACGCTTAAGGACGCCTTGGCCCATGCACTGGAAGTGGAAGCCGTGCGGCAGGATCATCGTTCCTATCGCATCAGGGAGGTTGCAGCAGCTACAGTTCGCGACCGCAACAAAGGATACAGCCCAAGGTGCTATGGCTGTGGGGAAAAGGGCCATCTTCGATCCAGCTGCCCTAAGCGAACCCTAGAAAGGGAAATTGAACGATCTCAGGAGGGTAGTGCGGCCAACAGCACCGCCCAGCAGCAGCAGGGAAACGAGTAAAAGCCAGAACTGCGGGGCGGGTGCTGGCTGATGTTAAAAGAGCCCCAAGGATCTCGATCTCACAAACCCATGATGGGAATAGCCTAATCATAAAGGGCGAGATCAACGGAATGCCGTGTAAGCTGACCATAGACACTGGAGCCTCTCGTACGGTTGTTAGTTCCCAACTTATAAGTCAGTTCCTTGGGGACTCCGCATACAACCGAGAACGCATTAATTTGGTAACAGCCACCGGTCAGCGTATACCCGTCCGTGGAGAGAAGGAGATGGAGTTGAAGCTAGGCAACGTGATCTACCTGCATAATGTCATCGTGGCTGATATAATGGACGACTGCATCCTAGGCTTAGACTTTATGAGGAATAATGTTGCGAGATCGACGTTAAGCAAGGTGTTTTGAAATGTGGACAGGAGGAACTTTTTATGGAAGGTGCGTTGCCAGGGAACGTGTACAGCATCAAGAAGATTGTTCTTCCGCCGAGATCGGAAACGATTGTTCCGGTTAGTCTTCCTCGAAACGCTGGGCAAGCTCACCGTTGTGTACTTGTGGAAAGGGTAAACAATGACCTTCCATGGAAGTAGCTCGAACCTTGGTCAGGACCACTGACATCTCAGGAGTACGTGTGCTAAACCTTTGCGACCGGGAACAAATTATAGAAAAAGGCACACTGGTTGGTACTTGTGAGGAAGTGGATTGGTTACGTCAGTGCCAATATATATCGAGTGGGACCCCCAGCAAGGATTCAGAAACGAGAGTGACCACACTTTTGGAAGACTGTCGCAGTGTTCTGTCCCCGAACGAATTGGTCAAGGCGAAGAAGTTGTTACTCGAGTACGCCGATGTATTCTCATCAAACGATGCTGACATAGGAAAGACTGGTTTAGTTCAACACAAAATAAACACAGGTGAAGAGTTGCCTATCCGTCAGCGGCCAAGACGATTGCCGGTAGCACGTGAAAAGGAAGTGGAAACCATGATTGAGGGAATGGTGAATGATGGTGTTATTGAACCTTCATCTAGTCCATGGTGTTCACCCGTGGTACTGGTAAAGAAGAAGGATGGCAGCTTGCGGTTTTGTGTTGACTACCGCCGTCTGAACGACGTTACTAAGAAGGATAGCTATCCCTTGCCGAGAATTGACGACACGCTGGACATGCTTACAGGAGTAAAGTGGTTTAGCACGCTGGACCTAAAAAGTGGCTACTGGCAAGTTGAAATTGACCCTAAGGACAAGGAGAAAACTGCGTTCTCGACGGGAAAGGGTCTGTGGCAATTTAAAGTAATGCCGTTTGGGTTGTGCAATGCTCCAGCAACGTTTGAAAGGCTGATGGAACTTGTACTTACCGGGCTAATTGGCGATGCCTGTCTGGTCTACTTGGATGATATCATCATCGTGGGCCGTACGTTTGAGAAACACCTTCAAAACCTGGAACGCGTGCTCATGAAGATTAAGAGTGCCAACCTCAAGTTGAGTCCGAAGAAATGTTCACTATTCAAACGGCAAGTCAACTTTTTGGGGTATGTAGTGTCGGAAGAAGGTATCCGCACGGATCCAGAGAAAATCGCAGCTGTAAAGGATTGGCTGGTTCCAAAAGACAAGACGCAGGTTAGAGCATTTTTGGGTTTGTGCTCCTATTACCGACGTTTTGTGAAGAACTTTGCAGATATAGCCAAACCTCTGCATAAGCTAACCGAGGAGAAGCGACATTTCTGCTGGGATGAAAGTTGTAACATCGCATTCCAGGAGCTCAAGGACTGTCTGTGCAAAACACCTATTTTGGGATACCCTGATGCAAGCAAAGAATTTATAGTTGACACTGACGCAAGTGATATAGGACTTGGCGGTGTGTTGTCTCAACGTAATGGTGACCAAGAGGTCGTGATAGCGTACTTCAGCAAGTCGTTGTCAAAACCGGAAAGGAACTAATGTGTCACAAGACGCGAATTGCTAGCTGTCGTAAAGTTGTTGCAACATTTTAGCAAATATCTTCTGGGACGAAAATTTCACTTACGAACTGACCATGCTGCACTAAAATGACTATTGCAGTTTAAAAACCCAGAAGGACAAGTTGCGAGGTGGATTGAACTACTGTAGGAATACGACTTTGAGATCGAATATCGCAGTGGGAAATCTCATGGCAACGCAGATGCATTGCCAAGAAGACCTTGTCCTAAAGATTGTAAGCATTGTACTAGGCAAGAGGGTAATGAAGTGGTATCCGTGAGGATGCTCAGGGCAGACCACCTCAGCAACGAGTGGAAGGACAGCTTACTACATGCACAGCAGGAAGATCCGGACATCAAGCCGTTTCTGGAATGAATAAAGGCCAGTGCTCCCAAGCCCAAGTGGAGTGACGTCTCAGCGATGAGTTTGACCACTAAAAGCTATTGGGCCCAGTGGGACAGCTTGCTACTTCAGGATGGAGTTCTGTGTCGTAAATGGGAAAACGTTCGGGGAGACAGCTGTCATTTGCAAATGGTTGTTCCTAAAGCTAAAGTACCGGATGTTCTACAGCTGTACCATAATGATTGTTCAGGAGGCCATCTGGGAGTTAAATGAACTCTACTGAAGATCCGAGAACGGTTTTACTGGGTCCACTGTCGAAACGATGTCGAGGACTGGTGTCGCAAATGTACAAGTTATGCGGCTGTAAAGGGACCTCAGACTCGTAGTAGAGGTGCATTGAAGTTGTACAATGTTGGTGCACCATGGGAGAGAATAGCCATTGACGTGGCGGGACCGTTTCCGGAGAGTGAAAGCGGTAACAAGTATTTCATGGTTGTGATGGATTACTTCATTAAGTGGCCAGAAGTCTTCGCCAT